TGAATCTTGATACCCCTGCCAGCAGATTAAACAGCAGTTTTTAAGACACTGGACAACAGATGATGTATCATCTTCTCTAATCTGCCTTGTTTAATGGACCAACTTTCAGATAGATATGAAGCAACTGAAAATATAGTGGCTTGAGTCAGGCACATCTTGGTTTTAAAATTTACATTTTCACGCTCTTAACACATAAAAGAAAAAGTTTTTGATGGAAGATTTACCCAAGCAGCAGATTTCTTCTTTTTTTTTTAAATTAATGTTAAAGTAAGTTTACAGAGTCTTAACATTTCCATTCATTCATTGTTGTACTTTTTCTTTATTTGTTTTTTTCTTCTACCATGGCTGTGGTTGTGAACCCAAGTAAAATGAAAAAAACTGGAAACTCCAGCCTTTTCTCCATCTATTATGATCTTGTGGATGGTCCAATTGCAAAGATTTTTGCTTTCTTGATGTTGAAGTATAATCAATATTGAAAGTTATAGTATCACATCTTATTTACTAAGTGCTTTAAGTCTTCTTTATTTCCTGCAAGCAAAATACATTATGGTATTGGTTTTGTGTACCACTGAGTCATACCCAACTCATAGCTGACCCTCCTGCAGGTTTTTCCAGGTAGTGAAGCACATGGGAGAAGATTTCCCATCTTTCTCCTACAGAGGAGCTGCTGAACGGAATACCTTTGCACTGGCATCTCAATTCTTTACCCCTAAGCCACCAGAGTGCCAAAAGACATGATAGGTTGACATTATTGATACAAAATTTCCATTGATCATCTATAACAAAATTTGACAGATGAATCATTTTAGGGAGCTCTCGTGGCCTAGTGGCTAGAAGCTGTGCTACAACCCCAAAGGCATGTGATTCGAGGCCACCAGCTGCTCCAAGGAAGAAGGATTGGCAATCTCCTCCTGTGCAATTACCTGCCTCTGAAAACCCACCAGAGGGTCAGTTTTGACTCTATAGTATATAAAAACAACTACAATAATTATATTTTAAGGGAAAGCACAAGTAGAATAGAAATAACAAAGTGTTTTATTTTATTTACTAATTGTGTAGATGCTATCAGGTCAACTACAACTCACAACATCTTAGAAACAACACACTAAATCTTACCTTCTCTTGTGCTGTCCTTACAAATTTTAGCATGCTTGAGCAAATTGTTATAACTGTGTCAATCCATTTGGTGAGAGTTATCCTCTTTTTCTGTGACCATCAACCTTTCTCAACATGTTGTTCCCGTTGTGTGCTATTGAGTTGCCTGTGACTCATAGCGACCATATGTACAAAAGCCCTAAACCCTGCTTTATCCTGTGCCAATCTCACTGTCTCTGACACACCTACCCCATTACCCTAGTCACAGAGTCAATCCACCTCATAGAGGATCTTCCTCTCCTGCGCTGTCCCTCCACCCTTCCAGCATGATGTCCTTCTCCAAGGACTGGTCCTGCAACAAGTCCAAAGTATGTCAGACGAAGCTTCAGAATCTTTGCCTCCAAGGAGCAGCCTGGTTTAACCCTCTTCAGGATGAACTTGTTCATTTTCTTAGCAGTCCATGGTATATTCAGTACTCTTCTCCAGCACCACAGCTCAAAGTCGTGAAGTCTTCTAAAGACTGGATCCTCCTGATTACGTGCTTCAAGTATGTGTGAGGAAGTTTTGCCTTCTTTTTCTTTCTTTACCTTTTGCACTTCCTCCAAGACAGATTTGTGTGTTCTTTTGGCAGTCCATGTGATATTCAGTACTCTTTAAAGGGATCGATTCTTCTTGGTCTTCCTTATCCATTATCCAAATTTGGGATATGTACAAACATCTGAAAATACTGTAATTTGGATCAGGTACATTTTATTCTTTAAACTAACATCCTTGATCCTTAGCCTTTTTGCTAGGCCCTTGAAAGTAGATTTTCCTAATGTAACAACACATCTCTTGATGTCTTGACTGTTGCTGCCATAGTTGTTGATTATTGATCCAAGCAAAAAAAAAAGTCATTGACAACTTGGTTCTTTTCTCCGTCTTCCATGTTTCTTCTTCCTGGTCCAAGGTTGAAATGTTGTTTTTGTTTTTCATTCTTGATGTTGAGATGTACTCTGTATTGAAGGCTGCATTGATCTTTAGTAAGTGCTTCAAGTTTTCTTCACTTTCTGTAAGGTTGTTTCATCTCTATAATGCAGGTTGTTGATGAATTTTCTTCCAGTACTAATGTCACATTCTTCTTTATATAATCTGCTTCTTGAATGATTTGCTCAGCATACAAGTTGAATAGGTATTCCTGGTTTAAAAACATATAATATTACTTTATATTCTTAGTTTTCTTGGCCTGTAAGTTTCATATGAGCACAATGAAGTGTGCTGAGTTTTCAGTTTTTCTCAATGTTATCCATTATTTGTTGTGACCACATAGTTAAATGTTTTTGCAACATCATTAAAAACAAGTAAATATCTTTTTTGTATTTTCTACTTTCATCCAGGATCCATTGGACATCAACAATGATATCCCTTGTCCAGGTCTCTTCTGAATCAAACATGAATTTCCCTTTTGTTGTGCTGTTCTAGATGGTGTGGTGTTTTTTATTTGTTTGTTTTGTTTTGTTTTGTTTTTATAATCTTCACCAAGAGTTTACTTGCATATGATAGAGATGATCTTTAACAATTTTCACACTCTATTTTTGAATACATTTGGTTTTGAAAAACAGTTTTTGGAATAGGGGAAAATATGAATCTTTTCCAGTCAGTTAGCCACATAAGTATCTTCCAAATTTCCCAGAATAGACAAATGGACACTTCCAAGGCTACATCTTTTTTGTTAAAATAAGTCAATTGATGTTCCATCGATTCCTGGGGCTTTGTTTTCTTCCAATCAATGTCTTCAGTGCAGCTTGAATTTCTTCCTTTTGTACTATTGGTTCTTGATGTCCTGGTGCGTTAGGAATTCAGTGTTGACGAGTTCCTTTTAGTACAGGGACTCTGTGTATTCCTTTTATCTTCTTTTGGTACTTCCTGTAACATTCAAGATTTGGGCCATTGAAACCTTCTGTATTGTAGCTTGACGCTTGAACTATTCTTCAGTTGTTTCCATTTGAAAAATGCTGAGCATATTCTTTGCTATAGATTTTCTAACTCTGCACATTTTGTTATAATATTTTGCTTTGTCTCCTCAATCTGTGCTTTGAAATCTTTTGCTCATCTTTCTTATTTCAACTTCTCTTCCCTTTGTTTCAGTTTCTATGTGTTCTAGTGTAAGTTTCAGTGTCTCTTCTTACATTTTGGTCCTTTCTTCCTTTCTTGTCTTTTAAATGACCTTTTGTTTTCTTGCTGTCTTTTATATCATCCCATAACTTTTCTGGTCATTATCATTCAATGCATTAAATATTTTCTTGAGATAATGTTTAATTTCACTTAAACTCAAGGACATATTTTAGTTACTGGGAACTTACAAAAATTTTCTTCATCTTATTTCAACTTGCACATGACTTGCTGAAGGTCTGTTATATCCTTAGCAGTTGCTTTTCTTTCGACTGTGGATAGGGAGCTGCTTCCTGAACTCCTTCCATAGATGTAGTGAGTCTGATTCTTGAATACTCCATTATGTGATGTCCTTGTGGTCCTGACCATTTATATTTTGTAAAATATATATTCAATGGATGAATAATTCACTGTATAAATGTCTATTATTCAGTCTCCAGTCTCAGTTCTGTCAAAAAGGCCATATTTTTTTTTAACTTTTCTTTTTCTTTCCCATTATCTTTCACTTAAACAGTAATGTTGTTCTTTTGTTGTGTACCACTTGCCTTTTGGGTTTTATTTTTTCTTTGTGTTGTTGTTGTTGTTATGTGCCGTTGAATCACCTGTGACTCATTGCGACCCTATATTCAACAGTCCTAAACCCTGCTCTATTCTGTGCCAATCTCACTGACTCTGACAGACTTACCCCCATTATCCCAGTCACTGAATCAATCCATCTGATCTTGGGTCTTCCTTTCATGCACTGTCCCTTCTTCCTCCCAACAGTTTTTTATTATGTAACTAAAATATATGTAATAGGATTTTTCTCCATCAAATGAAGTTTACTTTGAGCCGATCTTCTTAAATACCAATAACATCCTTCTAAATTAGCAGTAACATAATTTTACTTCATTGTTTGCATTGCTTAGATATTTCATTTATTCATCTATTATTTGTTGAGTCCTTTCTCTGTGGTAAATATCTGGGATTTCATGTGTAGAACAAGCACTGGTCTTGTCCCTGTAAAGTTCACATAAAAGGGTGACACTAACAATAGCAAAAAATTTCCAACTATAAAAGATAAGAAGATTACACAATATATCAGAAGGTTAGAAGTGCTGTTAGAATAATAAGAGGGGCAGGAAAGAAGGTCAAGGAGATCACATGTGTGAGAATAAAAGGTGAAATTTTAAGTAATATGATGATGATATGGGTGGGTATAGGTATTGCAAAGCTGATAATTTGAGAAAATGTCAAGAACAGTAGAAATTGGAGAAAAAGGTTATTACCTCCAAAAAGAGGGATATTAACAGGATTTGAAATTTGAAATGTATTTTTTCTGCTTTGTTATATGAGGTAATACATGGCAAGAATGAGCTCTTTGTTGTGTCATTTCTTTTTCTTTCCCATTCATTTTTATTTAAATAGAAATGTTGCTTCAACCCTGTTTTCTCTTTTTATCTGCATAGCTAAAATACATTTTATGTGATTTTTTTGTCCATACATGATACAAACAGGGTTTACTATGAGAATTTCCTCTTGAGAACCCAAAACATCCTGTAACATGATTTTATTTCATTCATTGTTTCTTAAAAAACATTAAATTCTGAGGATTGTCATTTTTAAAATGACTTATTAGTAATATTGGTTTGGGAAAACAACTTATTTTTCTCTTTCAGTCATTGACTGAGAGATTCCAGAGGGAACTATTTAATTTTACATTTTCTTCATCTATTTTAGCATGATTTAATACTAGAACTACTTGTTTCTCACAGATTGTGTTTCTGGCATCTGCATATGCAAGTCCCCAGTTAACAGAAGAAAGCTGCGCGGCCCTGGCTGCTGTCACACATTACCTGTACCTTTGCCAGTTCAGCTGGATGCTCATTCAGGTTGGTGCCTCATTCCCTCCCTAGTCTCCACCTCTCCTGCACTCCAGTCCTCTTGTGAATTTTGGTAGAGCGATCTGGTGATCTTGATGTCTGAGTTTTTGAATACAGGAAGGAAATTCATTTCATATTTTCCATTTGCTATATTTTTCTGATGACAAGTTTCTTTAGTAGGAATTTATCTCAGTTGAACCTATCTATTTGCCCTGGGTTTATCAGTCTGAATCTGCCAGGAAAGAAGTCCACAGTAGATGTAGAAGGTCTTTGGCAATGGCCTTGATCTATTCAAAGTCTTTGACAAATTACTTGGATGAAAACACAGGAAACTAGCTTATCAGATATGCAGCCGATAAAGATGTTAATAAGACAGTTAACAGAGTAAGTTGCCTGTGTTAAGATAGCAGGTAAATAAAATATAGATAAATTGTAATGTGATATATTGAAAAGTAAGGTGAAGGCATCATAAACTGATAGAAGTTCATGTGAAAGATTTAAAATTTTAAGTTAATATAAACTCCCTCCTTCTTGTTGGTATGTGCCTTCAAGTCAAGTATGACTTATAGTGACCCTATGGACAAAAGAACTGAATCCTTTTCTATTCTCTGCCATCCTCACACTTCCTGACACACAAGAGTCCACTGTGACAGTCAGTGTGTCAGTCCACCCAGTTGAGGGTCTTCCTCTCCTTCACTGACCCTCCACCCTTCCCAGCATCATGTCCTTCTCCAAGGAATAGCCCTGTCTGGTAACATACCCTAAGTATTTGAGGCCGAGCCTCATCATTCTTACCTCCAAAGAGCACTCTTGTTTGTTCTCTTGGCCTTCCATGGGATGTTTAGTGCTCTTTTCCAGCACCACAGCTCAAAGGCATCAATTCTTTTCTGTCATCCTTGTTCATTGTCCAGCTAGCTCTTAGATGTATAGCAAGTGATTAGAAAGACTATGGCTTGAATCAGACACACCTTAGTTCCCAAACTGACATCATTATTCCTTAATAACTTGGAGAAGTCCCTAACTGCAGATTTTCCCAGTGCAATATGTCTCCTTATCTCCTGACTGCTGGTACCAAGGGTATTAATTGTGCATCCAAGTAAGATGAATTTGTTGACAGTTTCAGTCTCCTCTCCATCCATCTTGATGCTGCCTATTGGTTCAGTGGTGAGAAACTTTGTTTTCTTGACATTGAGATGCAATTCATACCAAAGGCCACATCCCTTGATGGTCTGCAACAAATGCTTCAAGTCCTCCTCACTTTCAGCAACCAAGGTTTTGTCATCTGCATAATGCAGGTTATTGATGAGTCTCCCTCCAATCCTGATACCACACTCCTCTTCATAAATTTTCTAGTTATGAAATACATGACCAGATTGCTTCAAAATATGAACTATGGTAAGCTTAAATAGCTCAGATTGAGGTTAAGTATGAATGTAGCAGTAACAGCTTTATGTTAATCTAAAATTGATCAGTCTAATTTGGAAATCTGCTTACATATTTCATGTTTTATAACAGTCACCAGCCAATGAGAAATCAGAAATCAGTCCTAGAACAAATTGAGTCAACTGGAGATAACTAACTTGGAGAGAATTCAGGGAGATGTGATGCCTGTCTCCAGATAATTGAAGGGCTGCTGCAGAAAAGAAATGGTGGTTATATAGAGTTATTTACTCAAACATGTAAAAAATAAAACAAGAAAATTTTTACTCCATTTAAGAACGTTTATAACAAATAAAACAGCCATATGCTAAAGAGGTTGTTTCTAAAAGTATCCAGTCACTGAAATATACTTTAACAGAATGCAAGGACCAGATTTCAAACATGTTTTAGATGGGCTCTGTGCTTTGAGACACAGATGAGACAGCATATAAGATTTCAACAAACTTGAGACCAATGTATTCTATATTCTTCCATGAGGCTCTAACAAGTGTAATTGAAACTAATGCAGATTTAATAAATTAATTAGATTACCATATAGCTAATGGTTTAGGAAAATTGTTGGAATCAGTGAAACGTAATATATTTCATATGGTACACCACACATTTTTCATGGTTTGTGGTGTAACCACAAAGGAAAAACTCAATAATTCCTGAATTTTAAGTACATTACTACTATGAATTGCTTAATGGACAGAAATTGTCACTTTCCCAACATACTTTTTTCCCATATGTAAATAAGAATATTAATATGTCCTAAATGCTATCTGCATAAATCTCTTTTTTCAAACTCAGAATACTTTTAAAAAACTCATTATTTAAAAATTTAGACTACTGTTGATCCAATCCAGTCATTTGAATGGGGTTAAAGAAATACAAAGAATATTAAGACTTTAATGATTACATTTCATATTATATAGCAGCATGTCATTGTTGTTGAGTTCCAGTGAGTCAGAACCAATTCATAGCTGACCCTTCAGTGGGTTGTCAGAGGCAGTTAATCACATGAAGGGAGATTGTCCATTCTTCTCCCATGGAGCTGCTGGTGGATTAGAACCATGTGTTTTTGAGATTGGAGTGCAGTTTCTTACCACTAGGCCACCAGAGCTCCCTAAAGCAACACAGGTGAGAATTAAAAAAAAAAAAAAACAACAACAAGTAAACAACAACATGTATTCTTATGCATTTCTTATAGTTACATTGTGGTTGTTGTATATCATTGAGTAGAAACTGACCAATCATTGATCCTCCAGCAGGTCTTCAGAGGCAGTTAATTGTATGAAAGAAGATTGGCCATCTTTCTTCTGATGAATCACTGGTGGATTTGAACTGTGTACCTTCAAATTGGTGTCTGTCAGATACTCCTCTAAATCTAAGCATTCAGATTAAGATAGACTAGGAAGTCTATACCCATTCCAAAGAAAGGTGACCCAACTGAGTGTGGAAACTACAGAACAGTGTCATTGATTTTACATGAAAGCAAGATTCT